ACTGTCTTATATCCAAAGACTCCAAAAGATCCATTATGATACATCAAACATCTTAAAAGTTTTGATCATTTTTACTAAGAAAATTACAAAACTTTTATGAAACGACTCCTTTAAAGATTTTCTATGATAGTGTTGTATTTAACGGAATATTATAAACTTACTATCGAAGTAGTCTAGCCAATTATAAATCTATGCATTTTTTACGTATGAGTACATCAGTGTTAGCGATATAATTACTATGTTCAAAGTAGTATGTGTTTATTCTATATTAATTAAAAAACTATCCAAGACATATCGATTTCGTTTAATGAAATATATTTAAATAGACTAATAATGAATTCGTATTAATCGTTGTAAGATATATCATTATACGTATATTTTTTTTTTATTATGTTGAAATATTGAAACTAGAAATAAATCATGTTTCTTATTAATATATTAAATTGACACAGTATTTTGTATTTGTCATTTTTAAAATTGAAACGAATATTATGTAATAAAATGTTTAATGCAACACATCATATTAATATTAAGCATGCACTAAAGTCGAAGGTTCGGGTTTAGGTTGATACCAATAAATGCATTCTTATTTTTATCAACGTTTTTTCTGATTTCATTTTTTTTTACTTCACACTCTCTATTATAAAATATTGAGATACAGACAAAAGTCTATTGTCTTATTATCTGCCGATTGATCTTCTCTTTTGTATATTGTATTTATTTCAACTGATCAAAAGTATAGATACAATATATTCTAATATTTTCTCTTAAATACATTGGCCACAGGCATGATAATTAATAGTGTCTCAGAAGTAAAAAGTTACTTTTTCGTACCAAACAGGAACTAAAAACTGTTTAAAAGTTTGAGTTCCATACATGCCTAGCTAATTTTAATATTTTATAATTATGTTTCACTATTCAAGATTACGATCTATATATTCTGCGTTGAATGACCGCAAACATATGTACATATTTACTATATTCTAGTAAAATGATTTGTATCTATATTCTTTCACATAATATGAAAAAATTTTTTTTCTTTGAAAATATATACAAATATTTCCGTAAATTCTTGAACTGATTAGTTTTTTTTATAGAATTTATCATATCATTAATAATACTTCTACGTAATATCAATTAAAATGAAAATTTTTCCGAATACAAACATGTAAAAGTCATGATTCTACCAATCATTTGCTCCTACCTAACGACATTAATGGCCTATTTTTTTTAACTATAATAGAATGGATGATTGGGTTTTTATTCGTTCTTCTATGAGATAAGAAAAAAACAGGAGGATGTTTTTTTCACCTATGTTATGTAACGCACTCTCTTATAGAAGAAAAGCAAGAGAGCGAACAACACAAAGTATAAGATGAAGCGCATGGTAGGAAAATGAGAGAAAAACAAAGAATAATTTTGTTGTTTTTTTTTCTACAGAAAACAGCACAAAACATCATCACGTGTGTCATTGTACGAAGTCAAAATGTAAGTTAATCTTGTCATCAACTAGTAAAGTATGAAGAAAAGAAATTCAATGTTTCAGTTGCAAAAAAAAATTTTTTTTTTTTTGTTTCATTATTATGATTTTTTTTTTGTTGTAACAGTTCGTTATGTTTTAGCATTCTCAGCACATATATGGAGAAAGAAACAAAAATATTATATAAAAGCATTTAAATAAAACTCTATAGTTGACCTCAATTTAAAAATCCAATAAACAAAAAATTAATATTTGATTAAGATAAATTTGATTTTCTTGAATATAAATTTCTCTACAGCCTAATGTGTTCTTCTATAAACGTTCAATTACATGCACTTACAAAATGTTCTGTAAGTGAGAGTAAATAGTTTTTAAAAAAATGTTTTATTTAATAGTATTCAATGATCTACTTAATGTAAATCTTTGTTTATCGTATATTTAGGATCTCGTGTAGTGGTAGAATTAGGAATTGCAATCGCTACTTCATTCTCATTTACCCTTTGCAAAATTTGGTTTCGATTTTTTACACCAAAATCGAGCAAAAATTATCTTCATAGTATTTTGGATGAGTTTTAAATATCGATTTCTTTTTGCATAGGATCCATGTCCTTCTTTTTACTAATATCATAGATCCGCCACTGATTTCATAAGAGTAATAATACAAAATTAACTAAACAAAATAAAATATCTAAGCATCTATTTTTCTCTGACGCATGTTTTAATGTTTGTTTGTACGATATCTCCTATTTATTTTTATTTTGAGTATCTCTAATAATCAAGACTTTTTGTCGATTTGTTAGATGATGAATGAAACGTAGAAAAAAAGAACGAGACATTGTAATTAATACTATTAATATAAGGACGATCGAATAATTATTGATTTTTTGTTTCAAATGCAAATAATAGAAACTATTTACTACGGCTAAGATTGATAAAGAAAATAAAGTTCATAAGTAATATTGAAACGATAGAAATCTTTGATATTCATATCAATTATTCCCTATGAGAATAAAATAAAGTAAATTATAAATGAATACTTTATCATATAGATAAACTATTTTTCTGCGAACAACAACAAATCATGTTGGTTAGATCATTAAGTTAGTATTTTTCTAGAATTGTTACTAGTGAATTAAATTAATGCATAGTTTTGCAGTGATGTTTTTCATCTTACGAGAGAACCTGTTCAGGTGTCAAGTTGCTTTTCGATCGAGACGATGTTCGTTTGATGAGTAATAGAAAACTCTAGAATAGTTTGCTTTTTCAGGCTTTGATTCTTGAGATATTGAAATTTTACTGAATTTTTCAACAAAAAACTATGATTCCCCTCAGATCACATAAAAAGTCGATATTCTAGTTTTAACTTCAAACTTTAGATGAATAAAATTCTCAATGAGATTAGTTCATTGGGCAAGTTGTAACTTTCCTAATATCTCCTACCGTAAGATATTCAATATTTGAAATTCTCTCATGTGTAAAAACAAATTTTGTTCATATATTTACATCTTTAGAAAGAAAATACTAGGAAAGCTAAAACTTGCCCAATCAATTAATCTCATTAAGAGCTTTGTTCATAAAAAGTTTGAAGTTGAAACTTGAAAGTCGATTTTCTACGTAACCTGAAGGGGAACACAGCTTTTTTGTTGAAAAACTCAGAAAAATTTCAATATATCAAAAACGAAGACTTGAAAGACTAAACAATTCTAGACTTTTTGTATTACTCAGTTCCACTCATTAGATGAACACCATCTCCGTTGAAAAGTGATTTGACATCTGGACTGGCTCTCTTGTTAGATGATTTTTCTCACACCAATTATTGCTTACGTTACCAATACACTTTTTTCTGCTGATCCAACAATTAAAAATATTATTCAATTTTAGTTACTGAGATTTTACCATCAATTATTTTGATATAGGATTTAGAGAAACAAATATTCACTGATCATAACAGTACCATAAAGGAGATGAGTCGTTAAGCGATGAAATCGACCCTCTTCTAGAAATTAAGTTTCATATTTTCCCAATAGCCAATTCGGATGTCAAGAATTGGTTTATGATTCGAATTAGTCTCCGTTAGCACTCATTCTGACTGCGCACGGATGACTTAAAACTCGATATTAGTTATCTATCTTCTATAGGATAGTAATATGCAATTTTTATATGAAAAGGTTTTTTGTTCCATTCTCAGTACTTTTAATTTGAGTTATATACAAAATGAAAGGTCATTCTTTCTGTTATCGAATGACATATAGAAATATGACAAAATATTCTTCTTGCCGTTTTTTATTTAGATGGCATTCTTCACTCTTATATATAGTATACGGATACGCATGATAAAATTTCTCTTCTATGGTGCTATAAACGCAGTGATCTACTTTGAATTACATACTATTCGATAGCCCTTTTGAAGCTCTAAAAGCTGTTACTATTATACCGAGCTTAATTTCTAGATAAGACACTTCACTCAAACGTACAATGCTCGAGCGCGCCAAAAAATGTCACTTTTTGACTGATATTTGACCAAGTTTGACCTGAATAATTAGACTTTCTATTAAGACAAATGATATATTTGAAATGAGTATAAAACACTAAGTCAATCTATATATCTCGCAAAATGATCCATCATCTTTCATTTTTTTTTCAAAAACTCAGCCTGGACCTCTCAGAAATATTTTAAAAAACAAATTAAACAAAAACCTCGTTTTTTTTTATTTATTCAGCTGCTATTTTAGGTTTTCCTAGCTTTTTAAAAATTTACAACTATCTTTTCATAGTTAGACTGACAATTCAACTGAATTTATTATTTGACGTATTTCTGAGAGGGACTGAAGTTGAATTTTCGGAAGACACAGAAAGGTAGTGGATCATTTTTTGACGTACCTAGATCGACTCAGTTTTTTTATACTCATGTCAAATATATCATGTGTTTTAATAGACAGTCTAACTATTCAGATCAAAATGGGTCAAATATCAGGCAGAAAGTGACATTTTTTGGCGTTCTCGAGTATTGTACGTTTGAGTGAAGTGTCTTATCTACAAATTAAGCTCGGTATAATAGTAACATTTTTTAGAGCTTCAAAAGAGCTATCGAATAGTGTGTAATTCAAAGTAGATCACTGCTTTTATACCAACATAGAAGGAGAATTTTATCATGGATACCATGCCATTTAAACAAAAACGGAAAGAAGAATATTTTGTCATATTTCTATATGTCATTCGATAACAGAAAGAATGACCTTTCATTTTGTACATAACTCAAAATAAAAGTACTGAAAATGGCACAAAAAACTTTTCATATGAATATTACATACCACTATCCTATAGGGGATAGATGACTAATATTAAGTTTAAAGTCATCCGTGTGCAATCAGAATCAGTGCGAATGGACTAATTCGAATGGTAATTAACTCTTGACATCCGAATTGACTATTAGAATAATATGAAATTTAATTTCGAGAGAGGGTCGATTTCATCACTGAATGGCTTTTTATTTATTTAGTAATTCCAAAACCATAGCAACATGTCATTCGAACGACCAACATCCATAGCAGCGTTATCAGAACAGGTCAATCGTAATAAATCTTCGAAAACAACAAAAAGTTCAGCAAAACCAAATTTTTGTAAAGTATGTGGTGACAAAGCAACTATCATCAATTATGGCGCACTTTCTTGTCAATCATGTAAAACATTCTTTCGTCGAAATGGCTTCCGTCCTGAAGTTCGCAGTTTATGATTTTTTTTTGTTTTAGTTGAAATCATGATTGATTGCATGTTGTTTCTTTTTATAGAGCGCTCGTCCTTGTTTATTGAATAGATCATGTGAAGTGACTCTAAAAACACGACGAAATTGTACTGCTTGCCGTCTTGCTAAATGTTTGTTAGTTGGTATGAGTTCAGAATTAATTCGTAAAGAAGAAGGGCAAAGTAAAAAGCTATTATCAACGTGTAATTCCACAACTACTGGTGACGTTGTCAATCAACAAGTAACAGTATGTACTTAATTCAAGTAACTGAATTTTTAGATTACTATATTTATATATCTGACAAAGTAATTTTAATTTAATATTATCTAAAAATACATGTTTTGTTCCTCGGTAAAAACATATAGAATAAAAAACCTGTCACAACTTACCTATTTTGTTTATTGTTCCTAGTCATTTTATATAACTTATATGTACCAGTAACTGCTATGTATTAGAAATAATATTGACTTCTAGTGAGTTATCACGAACATCGGATAAAAACTAAATTGAAAGGAATTGTTTTTATACTTGAAAGTAAACGAGAAATGAGTTTTTTCAAATCTTCTTCTAACTCTTAGATTAAATATTATATTTTCCACTGAACAAATAATCTTTTCTAACGATTTAAAAACATAAAACATTCAAAATTATTCTATCTTCGAATATGAGATAGATCATACAATGACTTTTTTTCCTAATATCTTTAATTAACATAGAAAAAAAATTATCAAATATCTAAAAGGATAAATAAATTGAAATTCTCTATGTTAATAATAACTCAATTGATAATAGTTGTTCTACATATAGTCTTCACCAAAGCGATTAACATTGAATCTACTTCACAATGATCGAGTTTTGACCAATTCTGAATGGACACTATTGTCGAATATTATACATTCTCATGATACATTTAATATAATTCCACAAATACATCAAATCATCGAAAGATTATCTGCATTACCAAATGACATGCAATTCAAGGAAACAAATGCATTTGAATTCGTCATTCTTATGTATAAATCAATACATTCATTTATTAGTTCCTCATTGGATTTTCATATGCTTACGACAAGTGACCAGTATTCTCTTCTCAAACGCAATTTGCATACTATCGCTATCTTCTATTTCGTTATCATCTTTAATGATGCAGCCATCACTAATAAATTCAAGTATATAGATCTATTTACAACTATATATGGACCACAAATTGTATTCCATATAAAACGTATTACTAAACAATTGGATTTTGACTTAAATGTTATCAAGATTCTCTTGGTCGTCCTCGGTTTTTCATCAAATAATTTCATCATTGATGTTCATGAAAGTATGCCAGATGATAGTCTTCTATGTAATACACATGGTCTTTTCAAAAGTCAAAATGTATATATAGAACTCCTATGGAAATATATGATTTATCGGTACGATTTTTCTAACAGTGTACGTCACTTTTCTCAACTTATGCAATATTTTCTTAATTTAATCAAATATTCGGCAATTGCTTATATGAACAATGTAACTTATCATAAACTACTTGATAATGTTCATAAGAAAATGAAACAATAACTTATGATTATTCACAATGAAGAAGTTCAATTTTAAAGAAACAAATGTTGATTTTACGTACATATTTATGTTTGTTTTCGTTCATATTCTGTATCATTTTATTAAAGTTAAGTGACATAATGAAAAAAGATATTAATCTATTCATTGATATCAGTATATATATATATATATGGGATGAAAGAGAGTGTAATATTAATTCAGACGTTTACAGAAATCGGTTTCATGTTATAGATCAAGTAAAAAATTATTGATGAAAATTAATACATTGTAATAGTTTAAAAGATAAATAACTATATTCATGTTGTTCTATTAATATTTTTGTCTCTATTCGAAAAACTTTCAATTAAGAATTGAAGTTTTTTTAATTAATTATTGATGGAAAAGAAGTTTCAATTAGAATAGTTTTTGTAAGACAAACTATTATTTAGTGAAAGTATTTGTTCGCACTGCTAAATGAATACATAGTAGTTTTCTAATTGAGGTTTTTATAAATTTTACTTAAATTCAAGATTAATTCCCATTCGAAAGCTAACTATTCTAGATTAAATATTAGACAAGATCGGTCGAATTTCTTAATGACCAATAAATCGATATCGAATATATATGGAATTTATGCCAATATTAGAACGAAATGGAACCTTTAGTATGATCAATGGCGCAACTTATGGGAACACATGGAGCGTGATGCCTCTTGTCCTACCTCCAAAATTTGTCCACACAATGCTTCTTGTTTTAGAAACATATCCATACAGTCTCTCTCCCTTACATCCAATGCTGCATTACACGTCTGATTATGATTGTAATTATGATCAACAACTATTGTTGTAATGTCAACAGTGAACGATAAGAAAATAGTGTCAGAGGCAAGTTCTAACGATCCTAGCGGTAAATAATTATCGTGCTGATGATAATCATTACGCTTGATCCTTATGAGAGAAACCAACAGAATGTCTCAATGATTGTTTGTTAGAATATCTATGTGAATTTGTGCTTGTTTTAAATTTAGTTTGAGATACGAAATTAATAACAACTTTAAACATTTATAACTATTTTATATTTCAGAAGTAACCAGCATTCATCAATTGAGGTGAAATTCGAAAGGATTCAAGGCATTCTACAATATAAGTGGATCAAAAAACAGTGACAGAACTTCACTGAAAGAGTTACAATGATCGACACATACGAGCCCAAAACAGAAGCTTCAAGCAATGAATTCCATTTGATTTTCTTGAATTCTTTGGAGTTCGAAACATTCAAGAAATCCAAAGAAATTCAAGACATTCTACAATGATATGGTTGGAAACATTGCCACGTACAACTCCATGGACGAAGTTACGAAGACTAGTACATATAATGCCAATGTGGTTGCTCGAAAAATTGAATTTCACTTGATTTCCTTGAAGTCCTAATTTCTGAACGGTGAGTATATCTATATATGAACTCTTGATAGAGTGTGATCGATTAGGAACTTTTTAATTTCAAACAATTAGATTTGAGCAGAAATTTTTTCACTATTGTAAAAACAAAACTTATTATTGTCCAGGCCTATTAGGAGATTGGCAAGGACTCTCTTTTAAATGGCTGGGACAAAACTATGTTGAGTCCGTACTGACATAGAGAAAAACTCGAAATAAAATGATATTTGCCTAATGCAATCACTTAAACTTTATTTTATGTGAATTAAGTATTAAGTAAAATCACATTGAAACATAATGATTCACCTCTAGTATCATCATCAGGTAAAAATACTCAACAATAATAAAACACAAATAATATATTCCCATAATTTGATAATGACTTTTTCTTCTGATAATCTTCATTAGATTCACTTCAGTTGAGTGCGATTATTTCAATGTGACTATGAACAAAGTCTGTATGGATTCTCCTCCTCAAAATTTGTCTTTGATTTGAAATTCATAATAAGCAGACCAATTGTATTTCGAAAAATTTTATACAAACGAAAAAACTAGATAACATAGAATGGATAGATGTGACTCACTTTAAATATTTTTTACTATTATTGATAACAGTTTTATATTTCTTTTATTGTATTGTTTTTAATCTTCTGACTTTGTCAATCCCGATTTGAATGTTTTCACGTTCATTCAGAAAACATCAAAGCCACCCATTTTCTCTATAAAAACTTCATAAAGAAGCTAAAAAAAAACAACTTTTTCATCTAGAAAAAACGTTCTATTTTTAACATACATTATGCATTAATGTCATATTTATTTGAAAAGTACGTCTGTAGATGATAAAAAAAAGATTGTTGTAGGCTCTCCAGATGCAAAATTTGTCTTTTTAATTGTCTGCAGGCATTTTTTTAATGAGGAAAATAGTTGGTTCTGATGTTTTCTAAATGAACTTAAAAATGCTCAAACGGAAACCATGATTCGGGCGTTTAAAAGTATTTTTAGAAAACCTAATTTAACTAGAAAGGGAGCATATAAGTAGCATACAATAAGATCATGTTAACAACAAAAAACTGAAGATAGAAGAGAAAGAAAATTATAACTTAAAATAATAGAAGCATTTATATTTAGAATATTCTGTAACCCGTAGAAGTTCTTTTCTTTTACTACAGATATAGTGTGTGCTACTATACGTGTCAAAACACTTATCTTGTAATCAACAGAAAGATGTCATAGTGTAGAACGAATCGTTTTGATATAGATATATATTTGAATATCGTCTTATTTTTATCGCATTCTGTAAGTATTTAACAATGATTCTTTTAGTAATAGCTATCCATCGTATGATTTAGTCAATATTCTCAAATATTTTTCTCAATAGGCATCATAAAGATCATTCAGTACATTTTTCATGATAAGTGGATGTTAGGAAGAAATTATTACAATCATTGCAGTGCAAGATTTGTTTAAGATACGTATAGTAAAAATAATTAATTCCGAATGTAAGAGACTATTTTCAATAATTAGTTTGTCTAGTCAAAAAATTTCAATTTCCGTGAAAACCTAAATGACTTCTTGTTTTTCTTGTTATTTAGAAGATAAAAATTAGTGAAAAAAATTTCCATAATATTTTTTCGGTAATCATATGAATATCTGTAGATCATAAAATATTGTGCACATGTTTTGTTATATGAAACAATGATAAATACATTATGTTTCATGCCAAAGTATTTGTATAATATAATGAATCTGTTTAAATAATAATTTATGTGAAAGTACATTACGTATATAAATTTATCCTAGAATATATTTAATATTTACTTATGATAAATTGCTAAAAAGTAATTAGAAGGCTTTCTTTTTATTTAGACAATTTTCAATCTTTTAGTCTGATCTCATTATATCAAAATTATTTAAAAAAAAAAAAATTTATCGCAGTAATAAAACATTTCATAGATAAGAAAATATCGTATGGTTGAATGTATTTATTTTAAATAGATAATATCGAAATCTTATTATAATTTTTTTTTCTGGCTATACTAGATGATTTTGCAATCTATGATGCATGTAGAAATAAATGATAGACAATAGTAGAGAAATAAGCAGCTCTTTTTCTTTTACCATGGTAAGTGCACTGCGTACAAAATATTAAAAATAGGTTATTAGGTACACTTTTAAAATAAACATTCACATATGAAAATGATATATACATATGCAATTTATATTGTCACAGTTTAAATTTATAACTCAATTTTATGTGTTAGAAATTAAATATATGCTTTATAATGTTTTGTAAACTCTTCAATGTTAGAGTGACCCTTATAAATATTTTGACATACATTTTCAAAGGTATAACAAACAAAAATTGGTCTAATTATTGAATAGGTAAGCTATTTTATGTAAAAAAAAAACAGTGTTGTTTTTCTAATAGTTTTTTAATCAAATAAAATTTTTTTTTCAATTTATTAATATGCAGTATTTTATGTCTATGCTTGCATAGAGGAACGAATCAAACTTACAGAACAGAAAAAATGTTTTTTGGACATTTATTATCCTACATTCTAACATAAGGAAAAAAAATACTTGAGGTGCAAGTAGATAAAAAAAGAATGAAATAGCAAACTGCTCTCATTAAAAGAAAAAGAAAAAGTTACAGACAGAGAAAGTGAAATACTATTTTTAACCTAACAGTCGACTTTATCTTACATTTATATTTGTTGACAACTGAATTGAACAACGTAAGTTAATTTCATGTTTTCGAAATAAATGAAAGAAAAAGAGAAACTAGTTATACTATCGTTTGAAGGACAGTTTTTTTTATAGCAAGAACTTTTTTTTTTCGCAGCAATATTTCGTCAAAAGTACAGTAGTCTTTTCAAAAATTTCTGATAATACATGTAAGTAACTATCGTCAGAATAATTAAAAGTATGTCTTCGAATTTTACTTTTTTTAATTTCATGATGATATGTTGTTTTGTTTTTATATACTATAGACTGATATGGATTAGTCATATATGTACTATTATAATCCTATAGTGATCCTCTATCTATCCTGTATACCTTGGATTTTTATCTTTTGTAGATATGTGTATATATAATTTCAACTGTAGTGATTTTCAACATTTGATTTTCATTTGCATATTACACTTTGTTTCACATATTTTTTTTTTATCGTACATATAGGTGACACTGCGTACTAATATATTGTGAGATAAGTTGTTATACTACGCTTTCTTTCTTGTATTATGACATACAGAGCTCACCTGAAGGTATAGTGGCTATGGTCTCTCTATACGAACAGGTCAACTCTATATGTCATAATACAAGAAAGAAAGCGTAGTATAAAAATTTATCCCATAATATATTAGTACACAGTGTCACGTATATGTACGATAAAAAAAAATATGTGAAACAAAGTGTAATATGCAAATGAAAATCAAATGTTGAAAATCACTACAGTTGAAATTATATATACACATATCCACAAAGATGAAATCCAAGATATATAGGATAGATAGAGGATCACTATAGGATTATAATAATATATATATGACCAATTCATATCAGTCTATAGTATATAAAAATAAAACAACACATCATCATGAAATTAAAAAAAGTAAAATTCGAAGACGTACTTTTAATTGTTCAAACTATAGAAGAAAAACTAAAAAATTAAATTATTTCGTGATTTATCTTTATAATGAGATATATTTCGACATTTATTTATCGAGTACTTTATCTTTCTCAAATAACTAATAATGTTTTCATTGTATTGTTCGATATAACCACTAAAAATATTTTTGTTATTTAAGATTCATGGCTTTTGTTTGTATTACCGTTATCTACAAGGTAAATTTGTTTTCTCTATTAAGAAACTGAAATTTTGAGAAGAGAAGAAAATATTTCTTATAGTTTAAGAATATTTAATCATTCTTAATCAAGAAACAAATATTAAATAAAATAAGCCGATTAATAATATTCAATATAGCATAGTTATTTTCATATACATTGTCTCTCTATTACCCTTTTATTCACAAAATAAAACAAACATTTTTTTCGCTTGACTGAGCAAATACATTACCGCCACATTAATATACATTGTCTATATATTTCTCAACAGTGAACGACCTGAAACAGTTATATCATGACTTATTATTATGTGAGGTTTTTTTTCATACTGTATGGTTATCTTTCATCCCATTTTATGAATTATTTCTTTTGTTAGCAAACAATCATCGGTTTTTTTCCATCATTTTAAAAAATTATAGAAAACGGTGGCAACGTAATGATGAAGGGTATCACTGTTGTGTATCATTTATGCCACCGTTTTCTTGAATCTGATAGACTTTTTTTAGCATTCATCTTATTAGAATTTTAAATAGAATTATTTGAATAATACACTAGATTTAGTAGTGAAATTTTTTTTTACTTAGAAATAAAATAAAGTTTAACTATTTATTTTTTTTTATTTCGATATGTCAAGAATTATAAACATCTTTTTTTCATAGAGCTTATCGTAAAATCGTAGCGAAATGTCATTCAAACGATCTTTATCTGTATCATCTATATCACACGACGACAACTCTGATCAAATTCGAAGACGAATAAAAAACACATCTATATCGAGTGTTTGTCAAGTATGTGGTGACAAAGCTAGTATTATGAATTATGGTGCACTTTCTTGTCAATCATGTAAAACATTCTTTCGTAGAAATGGTTTTCATCCAGAAGTTCGTAGTTTATAACGTTTTTAATTTAAATTATTTTTTTTTATTAATCAATTTCTTCTTGTAGAATGTTCGTCCATGTTTCTTCAATAAATCATGTGAAATAAACATTACCACACGACGAAATTGTACTGCTTGCCGTTTTGCAAAATGTTTATCGACGGGCATGAATCCAGTTTTAATTCGTAAAGAAATTCAACAAAATAAAAAAGATATATTACCAACAAACGTACATAGTTGTCATAATGTCGTAGACAAAAGTATAATGGTATGTAGAATATTTGATTAAATGAATTAGAAACTGTGTTAAATATTTTTTTTTTCTATTAACTTATCTAAACTATTCGTTGATGATCTATTTCAATAGTTAATTCGATGAAATATAACAAATGTTAACATGTAAGAGACGTCCAAGAACTAAAATATAGGAATTCTTTCTCAATTTCATAATTGCTAAAATAAAATATTCACGATATTTTTTTGCTTACATATTTATATGCATCAAGAATTTATGAATATGTATGTGTAAATACGAAAACTATTGCATATAAAAGCATTACTTTGGTTTTTATGAATCGTGGAACTATAAAGGAACTAATGATCAATTCTCTTTTCCGCAAGGAATTATCATAGGTCCATTGAGAATTGCTCCACAACTTAGAAATTCTTATTTTCAGTTCTTGGACATTGTTGAACGCTATTAAAGTTTAATCTTGAAATATTATAATGTTCATATATTACTTCCGATGAAGTGAAATTCTAATGTGAAATTATTACAACAGAAATCTCAAGTCAAAACATTGAACTTCATAGATATTATATCATCATAATGATTTTATAAAAATATTAAAATCTGAATTTTAATATTTAAGAGATGAAAATCAATATGATTATAAAAATATAAATTCAATTTTGAAAATAATCTATAATATACGTTATAATTATCATTTAATTTTTATTTCGAAAACTTATATAATTAAGATTCACAATTCAATTTGAGTATAAATATTAATGTTAATAATGAATAAGAAAAAAAAAAGACTTGTTCTTTTTCTATTTAGCCTACAACACATGCTCTTATATTAGATCAATCACATAATGATCCATCATGTGTTAGTAAAAATGAATGGATATTACTTTCAAATGTTATTCATGCTCATGACACTTCTAGTGCTATACCACAAATACGTCGCACTATTGAAAATTTAAATGCACCATTTTCACTTCATGTATCGTATAGTGTATCTAATGTAGTTGAAGTTATCCTGCGTATGTATACATCTATGGGATCGTTTATTAGTTCTTCACCTGATTTTCGAATATTAACTATAAATGAACAATGTTCTCTTTTCGAACGTAATTTACATGGGATTATTGCTCTTTGTTCAGCTCTCTACTTTCGTACTACTCGTATTATTGATACTCCCAAATGTTTAGAAAAATTTACATTAGTCTATGGATCAGAAATTATACTTCAAGCAAAATGTATCAATGATCAATTAGATTCTGATTTAACTGTTATTAAACTTATGCTAATTATTCTTGCATTTTCGTCAAATTGTTTTATTGTTCTTGAAAAAGAAAAACCACAAATTGACAGTTTATTAAATGGTACATTTCGTTTATTTGGAAGCCAGAATGTATATATTGAACTCTTATGGAAATATCTAATTTATCGATATGGTTATTATGATTCAGTAATTCGATTTAACCGACTTATTAGAGTTGTTCTCAGTTTGATTAAATACTCAGCATCAGTCTACACAACAAATGAATTTTATTATCACTTAGTCAACGAAGTTTTAGCACAAATAAAACAATCATTCGCGACAAATCAAAATATGCAAAAACCATTATGGGGCAAAACATCACTATTTAGCAAAGAATAATTTTCTTTTTTTTTTTTTTTTGTTTGACATTTTTCTTTATTCGCAAAGATTTTATATTTAACGAAGATGATTAAATTAATCTTTTAGTTATATAAGATTTGCAATAAAAGATTTTTCTGTCTGACAGATCTATTCTATAAAAATAAAGTAGTTTTATATATTTTAGTTTTATTAATTAGAATTTTTATGAAGATACATATATGTCATTATTTAGATCTGCCTAGACAAATGTTGAACACATAAAGAGATTAAATAAATACGTTCTTATTCAAAAAATATATCTCGCGTGACGAATCTTCAGTTGAAAAGGGCTTATTGATAAGACATCCGGATTCATCTCGTGCAAGAGACATATATCTAGACACGTTTCATATTAATAATAATTCTTGTTGCAATTTGAAATCTATTTCTCTTTATACACATCAGAGAAATTATTATATTCAAAATATGCTTCAAAAGAATTTCAAGTAAACAAGTCACTATATAAATACATATGTATATATATATATTTTTAAATTAGAAAATATTGTAAACTTGTTCTGTTTTTTTGATATAGATATACAATTCATATTTACGGTTCAAATATAACTTCCATCATTCGAATTTGTGAATCAATTTCTTTTCAAAAAAAAAAAATTCATATTCATATGAAAAACAAAATGTTGCAGCAAATGGATATTCGTTGATGTAAAATAGATAAGTAGAAAATAGGAAGAAATGCTTCTGTGGAATACAAGCAAAATTATTGACATAATTAAGAAATGACTAACTATTTGATTATGATTTTACAGATGTTTAGTATATATTACAAAACATTTTACTGATGAGAGATTACTAATAATGGTTCAAAATAGAAAAAAGATATTCTCTAGAATTATCATTCTTCGAAAGAAATGTAGTAGAAAACAAAACGAAGTATATTGCATATGCATGAATGTCACTAGTAGAAATAATATCAATCCGACTCAATCTTTTTTTTTTTTGATAAAATATTCGATTTAATCAAGAGGATAAAAAAAGTTTTTTTCATATTTAAAATATCTCTTAATCGAACATATCCGCTAAAGTATGTAAGAGTTTTCATGAATTTGATTGATGTTATATTTCAGACTTGTTTTAAAAAGATAAATGGTCTAGTTGTTTTTTTTTAATATTTTATGAATTCCAGGAAAAATGAAACTAATATACTTAGGATATCCAAAAGTAGTGGCAGTGATATTTTAATTCCTTCTGAAAATCTTGAAGAAACTTATTCTCTATATGAATTGATAGTAAAAACGACACTCTATTTTTCTGTGTTATTATATCATTCCTCAAGTAATATCATAATAATAAAATTTCGATAACACCTATTTTTCTATCATATATGATAGTTATACTATTGCCTATTTAAAAAAGGGTGGAGTGGATATATTTTGAATAACTTCTGATAGAAACACGATAAAGAGCTGCAGCTTTGATCATTCGAAAGAGGAGACAAAGTTGCATCGAATCATAAATTATACGATTTTTTTTGACATGATTTTTTTAAAGGTTTTCAATCGATCTCTTTGAGAACCAACTTACCTCGTGAGGTGTGTATAGGAAATTTTCAATTGTTACGAGTATTTTCAAGCCGTCAATGAAAAATCTATAAAACTACATAATTTTCAGATGTTTAGAATCAATCATTCAGAAGTTATAGATATTCTAGTCGACGTTCTAAGTGATTTTTCTTGCCATTTCTGTGCAAAAAAGTCTTTTTGATATTGACTTTCAAATTGAATTTATCGCTATGATAGTAGTAAACATTTTCTTATATAATACTCTCGTGCACCTTGCCTCTACGAAGGAAGTACACATAAGATTAAGCAAGATGAGAAAAATTTAACATCCATAGAATTTCTTCATAAATTCGAATATTCTTTACTATTTCAACAGATTTTACAATAAAGTTAAACTTAAATTTTATTTCATTAAATAAAATAATTTTGATCAATACATATGAGATTGGGTGTATAATATCCAATCAATGTCAACAATAAACTTTTTATAAAATGAAATCCACGGTGTAAAAATTCATCCTATAATTCTGTTGAATCGGAACGACATCAAATTGATTGTTATGTTAATTGTGTGAAATTAAGTTTTTGAAAAGTTTCAATGTACTTGGCTTCACAAGTGCCAAAAGAACAACAAAATCATAATGTTAATATTTGTAATCAAAACCTTGTATTCTTTGTCTTTCCAAGTGAATGAAGTATGACCGGTTATTACTAGAAAACTCCAGATAATGATAGAAACTTGGAAGCCGGAACCCAATTACTAAATTTCTACTTCCAAGCTCTTACCATTTTCTGAAGGATTCTCGACGAAAGTTCATGAGTCCCGACTGCAGAATCATTATCCTGGAAATCGATTAAGAACTCTATAGGAAATAAAATAATCTCATCGAAGAAGTCAATCAATACTATTCATGGCCATTAACAAAAGAAATCAAATTTATAATATTAATATCAAATAAATTAATAGAACAAAGTTCTATAAGAGATCGTAGTATTTGTAGTATGATTATGATGTTTATTATAACGCAATTAGCGTTAAATTAAAAAAGGAACTCTAAATTTTGTGAAGTAAAAAGAGACAAGTACATAACTAAAAATTTCATTGCATAGTTCTTATATTTAATAAATCTTTTTGTTACTTTTCGTGGTCATCCATATTTTCGTTTTTCACATAAAGGTATACTTTTTACTGATGCGGGTAATACAATAGATTTCAATCTAATTGTTATATGAATCTTGTATTTATAAATATGTTCTTTTAAAAAATGTAGAGAATTCCATATTCTATTTTTCAATTCTTTCATAATTTCAGATAGAGCTACTTTCCATATCACAAACTAAAGCTATTTTATTTGTTCTACATCATCTTCTGATATTTATAGTAGTTATTTAGTTAAAGATTTGCTTGATTATGATTATGAGACTTGGACTATTCATTTACAAAATCATTTGTAATTGTCAGTGTTGATCGGTCGCATTCTGCAAAGTTTTGAGTGGGATATGTAAAAAAATAATTTGAACAAGATAGTGCATATTTAAAATAACAATAGATTTCAAGTTGTTTGTTCTATGAATTGTTCTGCGTACACAATACAAATCTATTAATAGTCTCGTACAAAAGGAAGCAGAATAAAAGATGCAGACCGAAGACTTAACAATAAAAGAAGTAGACAAGCAAAATAGACATCTACAGGAATGTTCCGAACTAATCGAGATCAAGAGACAGAGTCATATTTTTTCTTAACACAACTAATGTTAACTTTTGTTTGTGTTTGTTTATGGTTCAATAAATTGTTTCAACCTCATCAACACTTTACAGAATGAAAAGAATGTCAGCAACTGTTAGTCAAAGTCGTGCTATTCAAAAGGAACAATGAGTTGAAATTTCCGAAAATTAAGTTCTAAGTTTATAAAATTGATACTATTTCACGAAAAAGGATTTTTCGGTAAGTGAACTAAAATATTTTTTTCTCCTCTGTCCTTTCTTTTCAGAAATGAAAACATTATTGAATATAAGTTATGATATTTCTTAAAAATTTTTGTCGTCGAAGTCGATCACTATCCTAATGGCTGTTCAATAATGAAGCTCTTGAGATGTAAAAAGCATAACAACATGTTTTCATAACTTAATATTCGAGGTCTTTTTAGATCGACTAAGATTATATAGTCGATACATTGGAGTAAAGTGAAATTCTTTTCATTTTACTATGAAGCTTATTCGAGAAAAGCATCATTCTATATTTTTCGGAAAAAAGTTACCAAATTTCCATTGAATGTTTGTTTTAGAACGTTTTCACTAGCAACAAGTAACAAAACTTCCATTTATTGAAGAAATGTTACACTTCCGACTTTCTTCCTTCGATCGGATCTTAACCGATCATTGTAAAAATAAACTTTAATAACACACCATTATCTAAACGTATGTTTATCTTTGATCATTTTATTTGTTGATTCTAATGAATCGTTCGTACTTCGTGTTAAGGCATTCTATCCTTCCTATCATGAACCATGAGTTGTTAATGATTGTTTTTCGAATCATTCTAAAAATTCTTTTTATCTTATGCTCTGCATTCGTGGAATCATTCTATTGGAATATAGGAGTACAAAGGCACCATTTATTTAGAATTTTCTATAACTATATAGAAAATATATAGGACACTAATTTCCGCCTGGGGACGTCTTTAGAGTTTTAATGAACTCTGCAACAACACTGTAAATAATAGATTGTTTTTTTATCTACACATTATTGAATGAACTAAATTTAAAAAAATACTTTCAAATTATGGAAACAATGGTCCAACAAAGTTGTTTTCTGGAAGAAACGAAAAACAAAAAACTAATTTTTGTTCCGCTTATTTTTCAAATATTCCATACAAATATATTCACATTATGATAAAAGAAGCTAAATTAAATAATGATTGAAAAAAAAACGTAGTTTTTGTAGTTTATAATATAAGAGTGTGTCTGTCATAGTCTTTGAAGAGAGAATAGTCATAGTCATATTTCTTTCAAAATCTATGACGAAAGAGAGGCATTATTAACTCGTCCTCACGTTCCATGATAAAATGGTGAACAGTGTTACTCACGTGTCGTCTGACATTTGTGATATGTCCTTGCTAAAGTTTCTGTCATATTTGTGAGAAGAAGAACACAGGAAGCAGTTAGGTAGCAAAATCGTTTTTTGCTTGAACTCTAATTTTCTCAGTAGTATGATCTACAACCAAATCGAATAGTATTTCACATATGATCGGGCTACACAATGTATATTTACTTTCTAGTAAAAATGTTCCATCAAAATAGATTGAAAATTATATTCCCATTTGACTTTTTACTGTCTATTCATTGAGGAAGGATCGAGTTCGAATTTCTACTCTTATACTTCAACACGCATTTTAGATTGAGTTTCACAAGAAAAAGAAAAAATAACTTGTATACATATCTTGAGTCGCTGCCATT